CCCCCCCCCCCCCCCGCCCCCCACCAACAAACGCCCGGGCGCACCGGACCGCCCGAGCGCCGGGAGTGTCTGAACTACAGCTCTAACAAAGGTCTCAGGAATAAGGTCAGGAAGATCAATAGAGTTTTGGGATCAATGGATAGGGATGTGGAGCTCTCTATGAACCAGAGTTCAAGAAAGGAAGATCAGAAATTAAGGCGCTAAGATCAAAGTTGGACAGTAAATTGCTTTTACTGAGGTTAGGGCTTGGCGGTTAGGGATCAGAAAGTCAAGCATCACAAGTTAGATTTAGGAGTGAAAGGTTAGGAAGCCGGGTTCAGAGACTAATAAGGAATCAGACGTCGGATCCTTGGGCCCGGTTTGGCAGCCTAAGGTTCACTCACGTGTCCCCATCCTCAGTGACGTAGCCGAAGACGAGGGGCGCCCACGACAGACCCGGGCCCAGCTCGGCGCCCAGCCCCGGTCCTCCGGGGGCTGCTGCGTCCGGACCCAGAGAGCCCAGTCCACTGTCGCACCATTCGTCGGCCTCCGCAACTTTCCCCAAGCACGCGACCCCCGCCATAGCCCCCGACGCCTCAGGGGTCCCAGCGGCCGCCCGCCTATAACTAAGCTCTGCCTGAAGTCCTGGCGCTTCCGCCCTGCGGGGAATTCCCCAACACTCCCCCTGATTTATCCAATCAGAGTGAGGTAAAGAGTACACGCCCCGCCCCCTTACCACACCCTGACCAATCAGAGTATTCAGATGGACCACGACTCTCTACCCATTCCCACATTTTCCGGGCGCCCTTTACCAACATGGCTGCCGGCGCGGAGCCCTCTGGGACTCGTAGTCCTCCTGTCCGCAAGTCTTTCTAACCTAAGAGCCGCTCCCCGGACGTTGTGTGAAAGCCTGTATGCATCCGCGATGGTTGCCGGGAGTTGTAGTTCTCTGCCTGGTCTCTGCCCCTCCTGTTTCCGGTGCCGTCACGGGACAGAGCAGTCGGTGACAGCACCGAGGGCCCCCGCCCCGCGCCCATGGCCGAGCCGGACCGTGAGTCGGGGGCCCCGGTGGGAGGGTCGGGCCGCGCCGGGGCCTGGCTGAGGGCTGCAGGCCCCGGGGCCCGAGAATGGGCATGGTGGGGCTGGAGGTTGGGACTGCATGGCGGAGAGTGGGATTGGGGGTACGGGAGGTCGTTGCCAAGTGATCCATCCTGCTAGATTGTTGGGTTTCTGGGTCGCGAGATTTTGAGGGTCCGTTTGCCACGTCCCCCAAGTTACTAACGATCGCCTGTTTCTCGCACCTTGGTTGCTGGGGACCCTCGTTGCTAAGGATTTAGATTGCCGCAGACCCGGTTGCTAAGGGTACCTGGTTGTTAGGGGGAATTGTAGGATGCTAGGGGACCCCTGGCGTCCCTTCCTATCTCTTCCCTCTAGTTCCTGCGTCCCCCCTAAACATACCATCCCCACTGCACCTCACTTTCTAAATTCGTCTCTAGTCAGAGTATCTCTCTTCTTATCTCTTGTCTTCCTTTTCAAACTTCCCTCTGTAAACCTAACCCTCCCTGGATTCGCGCGCGCTCACACGCACACACACACACACACACACACACTCACTCACTCACTCACTCACTCTTTCCTTCCTCACTTCTCCTAAGTCCTCATCCTGCCCTGTATGCCTTACTTTCTCCTCCCTCTCCTAAACCTTCCTGTCCCAGGCTCTTTGTCCCTCACTAACCACCTCTCCTGCCAGTACTGTCCACTGTAATATCTGCTTCCCCCTCCATCCCTTCCCTCCCTCTGCTCCATTTTTGCCACCACCTCCCACCCCAGTATAATTAGGTTGGTGGGTCTTCTTGCCCCCTGCCCTTCTGCTTTGAAGCCCTTCATTCCCCCTTAACTGTGCCCCGCACTGTAACCACGTCTGCTCCCCCTCCTCCCCCAGCCTCTGACCCTCTGGAGACCCAGGCAGGGAAGGTGCAGGAGGCTCAGGTGAGATTTGGGGAAGGGTGGAGGGAAGGAGAGAGATGGACTCGTTCCCGCACCCCACACTGGGGGGGAGGTGGCAGAGGGGAGACAGTTACCCCAGGGCCCTCAGCTCACTGCCCCAGTCCCTTGCCCCAACTCCCGGTTCAGCCTCCTGGGGAATGGTGGATTCTGGGAATTGTCAGAGAGGGGTGTGCCCCCTTAACTCCAGGCCTGCCCTCCCAAACTTTTCTCTTTCCTTGCCCCCTACCCCTGTCCTTTCTGAACTTCATTTATGCTGGGCATGGAAGAGACAGGTATCCAGTTTTGATCACAAAACTCACAGATCTCATGGACAAGTGACTAGAAAATGACCCTACAGGGTGATTCTGAAAGTAGCTCGAGGAAGAGTAAACTTTGTGGGGCCACAGGGATTCCAGCCAGTCCCTTCCCAGGAGGAATCCACAGGCTGGGCTAGGAGTCAGACTGAGATACAGACACATCACAGTGAGCGAAGAGTGACTTAGAATTTTCTTAGGCAGAGTGAGAAATGGCACTCCACGCAGAGGATACAGCTTGTGCAAAGACTGGGGGACACGAAGGGTGTAATGTGGTCAGCAGTCAGGTGGCTGGGAGTGGTTAGCTTGTTATATTCGAGGTTAGCATTTATTGAGTCCTTATTCCAGCCAGGTACTCTGCTCAGTGCTCTGTGTACATCATCTCATTTCGTCTTCCCAGAATCCCTGGGGGGAGCAAGGCCTATTGTGGCCATTTTACAGATGAGGAGTCCGAGGCAGAGCTGTTAAGCGACTTGTCCTCTGTCCCCCAGCTAGAAGAGCAGGGACTGCTTTGCAACCTACAGCACCTGGCACGTTGCCTTCCAGACACCTCAGGGAGAGGTAGACACGACACCTCACAGAGGCTTGAAGGCCCCACCAGCACCTCCGGCTCCCCCTTAGGCCAAGTGGCTCCCACACGCGGGGCAGGGCCCTCGAGTCCTTCCACAGAGCCTCACTGTCCGCTGCTGAAAGAATGCCAGGCCACCCACAGACGCGAGATCACTGTTCAGATGTAGGGCAGCGCCGAAGCTGGAATGCTTAAAGCCCCTGACAGATGCGGGGCCGGGCCACGCTGAGGGGGTAAAAGCCTCCTGCCAGGCCAGGGCTTCTCCCTCGCCTGGCTCCTAGGGCTCAACCACTGTCACAGCAAAAGGTTTAATGTTCAAAAGGGATCCTCAGTCCCAGAAAGAGCGATCCGAGGATGTAAATTGCAGCATTGTCTGTGACAGGCCAAAACTGGAAACAGCCCAAATGGCTGTCAGCAGACGGGTTAAATGAAGTATAGTGCGTCCTTACAATGCAACACTATGTAGCTTTTTTAAAGGAGGAGCTGGATCTATAGTATATTGTTCTGCGGAAACCGCGAGGTGCAGCATCGTACTATGGTAGGACCCATTTCTGGAAAAATAGTGAGTTTTATAGGCAGAGAAAAAAATCTAGAGCGATTGCCATTCTGCTGTTAATAGTGGTTATATTGACCCGGGGTGGGTGAGGGAACTCGAGGCAAGCGTCTCAAGTCGTACATTGTCTAATGGCCAGAGTTTTTGCAAAGCTTATGTAATCTTAGAAAGCAATAATAAAAAAAAAAAAATGTAAATACGTCTGGAAGGGCAGTTCCTATTCAAAAAGGCTTGGAACCAGAGCAGAGAATGATGGGGGAGGGGCTGGTCGGAGGGGTTTTAAGCAGGAGAATGAGTTGGTCAGAACTGTGGTTTTTGCGAGGTCCATTGCAGGACCCAGCCCTGCGCACAGCAGGTATCCGTTCGATCAGTGGTGGATGGTTCTGGAGCAACTGCCAGGGGCCAGACCCTGTTGTTGGTTGGTGCTGGGCATCCGGCGGTGAACACGAAAAGTCCCTGCCATCTTGGAGCTAACATCATGGCAGACTCCATACGCGGGGGTGATTGGACGGTTAGACTGGAGAAGCCAGTAAGAGGGGCCCTTGGAGCCGAGGGGGTGGTGGCCTGACACAGCCAGGCCATCACCCCGAGGGCCGTCGAGTAGGTCGGAGGTGAAGGCTGAGGCTGGGAGCTCAGGGAGGAGGCCAGGACAGGGACCCCGGAGGGGGAACAGGCTGGACCCAGGTGGAGCCCTGGGCAGGGGGACACATCATGGCAGGAGGGCAGGAGAAGGAAACAAAGACTCGGGGACAGAAGCCACACTGAGCTAGGACCTAGGAGGAAGAACAGGTTCAGGAGAGATGCTAAGGCCAGTTTGGAACACAGTGGGAAAGAGAGGGCAGGGGTCACTTCAGGGGAGGCATCCAGGAGGCTGCGGGAACCCGGTATCCAGGGACAAAGAGGTAGCATCATCAACGCCCGGGCCAAGGCCATGAGGCAGCTAGCCCAGGAAAGGTGGAGAGAGGAAGTAGGGAAGGCGCAGGACAGAGTCTCAGACCCGCCATCTGGGGGCCTGATCGAGGGGAGGAGTATACAATGAGATGGATGTGTCGGAAAGGTGGTGTCTGGGGCTTCGAGCAGGAGAGCCCAGGGCCCCAGGGTGAGGACCAAGGCGTTTCCACTGGCATCATTCACAGGAGAGACTGGAGTGAGGACGGCTGCAGGGGTGCCAGAATCCCGCAGGCTGCTGCTCGGAGCACCTCTCGTAGGTTAACCACTTCATCTCAGGTGGCCCTCCGAGGCAGTGCCCTCCGAGCTCCATTCCCGAGATACAGAGCGTCAGGCTCAGAACAGCCGAGAACGCACAGGCCGCTGCGCGCTCCTCGGGAGTAGGAGGACCAGGTTTCCAGCCCAGGCAGCCCACCCCAGAGCCCGCACGCCGGCCCCCCACCGCACCTCACTTCCTTGGGCCCACTCCCGGCCGGAGGCTTTTCCCCCAGACCCGGGTGCCACCCTCCCCTGCCCTCCCTCCCTCACCCCACTTCTGGGGCCTGCTCACCCCACCCCCACCCCTTCCAGGACTCAGATTCAGACACTGAGGGAGGAGCGGCTGGCGGAGAGGCCGAGAGTGAGTATCTTCCCCGGGAACGGGGTCCCGGGGGAGCCGCCTCGGGCAGGGATCCCATTTCTGCCCCTCGCCGCCACCGAAGGTGACGTTCAAAGTATGTCATAATGGGTGCGGAGCCAGCGCCCGAGGTCCCCGGTTGCGGGAGGGGGGGTGGGGGATCCCGGGACGGGGCCCCTGAGCACCCCGACCGAACGCCCACCCTGCTGTTCTCTCTCTCTGCTTTTTGGCCAGTGGACTTCCTGCGGCATTTCTTCTCCCAGACGCTGGGCCTGGGCACCCAGAAGGAGCGGCTGCTGGACGAGCTGACCCTGGAAGGGGTGACCCGCTACATGCAGAGCGAGCGCTGTAAGACCCGGGCCTCCGTTGCCCCTGACTTGCTTTTGCCCCGGCCACTTGAGCCATTCGCCAGTCACACCTTTTGTTGGCAAGTGACACGAGGAGCCCAACGCACACGGCTTATTACAGCGGAAAGAGGGTGCCGCCCCTCTAACTAAAACCTAGCACTGAGCACTGCTGGATTCAGAGGCTTCCATGATGTCAGAAACCTTAATAACCCCGTCCGGGGTTCACGTTGAGGTAGAGGTGGCACCTGGCAGTCCCGAAGGCCAGGACTAGCCCCTCCCACCGAAGAGGGCATCTTTCTTCCAGTGGTTCGAGCAAAATGGTCCAGGCCAAAGAGCAGAGAGTGGCTCCAGTTGGGGCCACGTTGGGTCAGACTCCTATCCCAAAACCCATCTCCGTGTCTCTGATTGGCCAGACCCGGGTCACACATCCATTGCCGATCGGCCGGGCCTGTTTGATAGAATGAAGGTGATGCCAATAGGAATACCTCGTAGGGTCCTTAGGGTGCCATAAATTAACAGAGATGGAAATGTCTGGAAGAGGGCCCGGAACAGAGCAAGATCCGCGGACCCTATGACAAGTATTACAGGAAGCGTGTTTCAGGGCTGGTACGTGGGTGCCTCTCTACTAGGTCACCGTGTCAGTGTCATGTATATTTCTCGCAAGTTGAGGTCACCAGAGTCTGGGAAACCGGGCCCTCGGCAGTCCTCAACTAGAACAATCGACCCTTTGAGGGTCCTGAACAGCCTTTTGTTGAGGACGTCTTCTCCTGTTTCCCTGTCCTCGGGCTGCTGCCTGCTCCCTGCTCGGGCGTCCAGGCTTCGTGCCCTGAGCCTCCCTCTCCCGGGGCAGGCCGGCCAGCCGTCTGCAGGGCTCCTCCTGGCCAGGGTGCGCCCCATGGAGAACACAGGCAATGGCCACAGAGCTTTTGTTCCTCCCGTCCTCCTGCACCTGGGTTTTAGGACAGTTGTCTATAAGGCCGCCTATGAGGGGCAACAGTAAAGGACAGCAGTTAACCGAGCCCTCACCATATGCCAGCAACCGAGCTAAGCACTTGATAGGCGCCCTGTCATTTGATCTTCACATTGTACCTGTGAGGTCATCACAAGGGTGATCTGGACAGAGCAGGAAGCAGAGGCCCAGAGAGGCCGTGACTGGCTGCAGGGTCACACAGCTGGCACGAGGCAGTCAGGACTCGACCCCAGGCCCCCTGAATCCAGACCACGTGCTCCCTCCCGTGTGGCCCCAGCTGGCCCCAGCTGTGCCTGGCCCGAGGGCATCCCGGAGCGGAGGGCCTCGTCACCCTTGCCGTCCTCTTTTGCACAGGACACACCGGAGGTAGCCGGTTCAGGGGCCTCACACTTGTGTCTGTCCATCAGCGATGGGCAGGTGCCAGGGTACCGCGTGGCAGGGCTGTCCGCCGGCCAGCAGCTGACGAGGCGATAGGACTATTTCTGCACAGCCCCGAGTATTTTTGAAATGATTTAACTCCTACCGTGTCTTCCCATTTTCTTTTCTTTTTATAATTTTTTTTTTAGTTTATTTATTTATCTTGAGAGGGGGAGGAGCAGAGAGAGAGAGAGAGAGAGAGACAGAGAGACAGAGAGAGACAGAGAATCCCAAGCAGGCTCCACGCTGTCAGCACAGAGCCCAATGCAGGGCTTGATCTCACGAACAGTGGAGATCATGACCTGAACCGAGATCAAGAGTCAGGCAATCAAGAGTCGGGCGCTCAACTGACTGAGCCGCCCGGGCCCCCCTTCCTATCTTCTTTTCTGAAAGCTGGGGGAAATGGCGGAACAAAGTGCCTACATGTGTACAAATCCTGGGTCTCACGAAGTACAATTGACTCAAAAGAATAACAGAAACACGTATATAGTGTTTGCTCAGTGCCGGGCACTGATCTAAGCTTTACACGAATGAATTCATTCTCTCGACGGCCCCGTGAAGTCAGTACTGTAAGGATGCCCATTTTACAGAGCAGGAAGCTGAAGCCCAGAGGGGAGATCTGAACTAAGACACCTCCCTCCTCACCGGTGAGCAGGAAAGAATGTGTATGATATGCTAGAAATAGATGGTCATCCAAGACTGTGTCCAAACGGTGAGGCGTGGGGGCGCCGGGGTGGCTCAGTTGGTTAAGTGTCCAACTTCGGCTCAGGTCATGATCTCACGCTTCGCGGGTTGGAGCCCCCCATCGGGCTCTGTGCAGACAGCTCAGAGCCTGGAGCCTGCTTCGGATTCTGTGTCTCCCCTGCTCTCTGCCCCTCTCCCGCTTGTGTTTTCTCTTTCTCAAAAACAAACAAACAGTTAAGGGGGAAAAAAAGGTGAGGTGTGGCCAGAGGTTTTTTTACAATAAGCCGTAGCTCTTCGCCAGGACACCTGTGCCCCCCAGCCTTCTCACTAAGGTCTCGTGCGCTTTCTCTAGAACTAGTCAGAAGGAGAAACTTCCCTCCGAGTGGCCTTTTCTCGAATCTAAGTTGGCATCATTTCAACCCGTAGATTCCTTGTCCCCACGCTGGCTCTTCCTTCGGTTGGCTGTGTGACCCTTGCTCTCCCTGAGCCCTGGTTTCCTCATCTGTATAATGGGCGCGTTAACTCCCTCTGCCTCGAGGTGATTGGGAAGGCCATCCATGCATCTGAAATGTTGGCCCCAGGGCCTGGCACTGAGTAAACAGTCTTGGGGGCTAGGACGTTGTCATTGGGGGGGCTGAGCACACTGTCACATGATGCATAAACTCCTTTCCTCCAGGTCGCAGGGTCATCTGTTTGGTGGGAGCTGGGATCTCCACGTGTAAGTGCCTCCCTTCCCCCAGTAGCCATTCCCACGTTGGGGGGCCCCCCCTTTCAGAGGCTGGGGGGAGCCACGTCTGGGCCCTTGACAGAGGAGGATGTGGTATAGATGGGGCCGAGGTCCCTGACCCGTCGCTCCCTGCCCCTCCTCCCCCAGCCGCGGGCATCCCTGACTTCCGCTCCCCATCCACGGGCCTCTACGCCAACCTGGAGAAATACCGTCTTCCCTACCCGGAGGCCATCTTTGAGATTGGCTACTTCAAGGTGTGTGTTGCCCGGGGAGGAACGTCTGTAATGGTGGGGGGAAGGGATCCCCTGACCGCAGGGCTCAGCGCACCATCAGGATTCCGGTTCTCTCTCCCACAGAAACATCCAGAGCCCTTCTTTGCTCTTGCCAAGGAACTCTACCCTGGACAGTTCAAGGTGAGCTCTCTTTTCCCTGGTGGACAGGAAAGCTTGGGGGAACAGCAAGGCATGGGAAGGCTTCCCCTGGGGCCTCTCAGACAAATGTCGCATGGGCTCTAGGCTGCCTGGGTCCAACTCCTGGTCGCTCACTTCCTGCCCTTGTGACCTTGAGCCTCAGTTTTCTCACCTGTAAAATGAAGCTGATGATAGCCTACGAAACCTCTTGGAAGGCTTCCCTGAATTAACCGTACACGTAAGACCCCAGACGGGAGCCAGGCCGATTGTGTACGGATCCCAACTCTGCACCTGTGCGATCTGGCAAGCTGTGCCTCAGTTTCCTCGTCTGTGAAATGGGGCTGGTGCCGGTCCGTGCCCCCCCGCCCACCCCCCACCCCCAGACCAACGTGTGATGGTTCCATGAGGTAAAACAGCCAGAGCGCCTAGAACAGTTCCTGGCTCATGCCGAACATGCTGTGTCATTATCACGATGTTCCCATTGCTCCCCCGCAGCCGACCGTCTGTCACTACTTCATCCGCCTGCTGAAGGAGAAAGGGCTGCTTCTGCGCTGCTACACGCAGGTAGGCGGCCGTGGGTGTCCCTGGGAGGAGGGCTGGCCGGGTGGTCCTGGAGCCTCAGTGCCCCGCCCCCTGGCCCGCAGTGCGTCCCTTACCCCCTCTCAGCCTCGGTTTCCCCTTCTGTGAAGCAGAGGCCAGGACGGCTTCACCCTTCGGGTCCATGGTGGCGCGACAGCGAGCTCCTCTGGGAGCCATCCCGTGCGTAGACAGGACCTCACGTCTGGGGGCTGCCACGGGCACTGTAGATCTCGTGTTTGGTTAGGGGTTTCCGCACCCGGCCACGGAGTGACTCGGTCTAACCGGATCTGTGCATTATGACCGTTTTCCAACTGCTGGGCACGGAGCCGTTAGGAAGGGGCACCTTTGAATAATGTGCCCTAAGGCGTTGTACGTGCCACGGGCCATGGCTCACGCGTGTCGGGTGCTTAGCCGAGGCCTCGCCCTGGGGTTCTCTGGCAAGGACGGCTCACCTTGTTGGCTTCTGGACTAGTCAGCAAGATGTTTTGGGGGTCTCGCACCCCTAACGGTAAAAACTGCGCCTCTACCTTCGTTTTATGAATACGTGTTTTACGAGTGCCTGTGAATACGCATTGAAGTTACCCGATGTGGGGCGCCTGGGTGGCTCAGGCGGGTAAGCATCCGACTTTGGCTTAGGTCATGATCTCCCGGCTCGTGGGGTTGAGCCCTGCGTCCAGCCCTGCGTCGGGCTCGGTGCTGAGGCCTGCTTTAGATTCTGTGTCTCCCTCTCCCTCTGTCCCTCCCCGGTCTGCTTTCCCTCCGTCTCTCTCTTTCAAAAAGAAAGACATTAAGACAATTATTTTTAACCCATTACGTAATGTAGCAGTGATATCACGCTCTACGTGAGACCTCAGAGCCCGAAATCATAAAAGAGAGAGAGAATACCTGAGCGTGAACGGGAGTCCTAATACTTCTCCCCGCACCTGGCTGCGTGGAGCCTGCAGCCCGCGAGGCTGCCACCAGGGGGAGGATGAATTTTTAAGTCCAGATTTCTCAGATGGGGTCAGGCGCTCCTGCCTAGCTGCCCAGGGCTGGTGGTGGCAGCCGGGGAAGGGACAGCCGCCTCCTTCCAGGAGGACACCCCCCCCCCCGCCCCGGCTCAGCAAAAACCCGACCTCTCTTCCCAGAGTCAGTTTTATCCACGGGACGTGGCTCAGACATGATACAAAACGCTCACTCGAAGCCCAGTGCCTTCCGGGCACGGTTGCCTGAAATCTGCAGCACGGCCCTCGTAGTCCTCTTCCGCCACGAGTGTTTACAGAGCGCAGGCCCCGTGCCAGGCCCTGCTGGCAGCGACATCCCCGCCCCCCCAGAGCTGCTCATCTCATGTGGGGAGAGAGACACTGGGCAAGATGGATAAGGAGGACATCTTGTCAACAAGGTGTCAGGGAAGGCCTCGCCGAGAAGGGGCCATTTAGACAAAGACCTGGAGGGGAGAGTGTGTTCCAGCCGAAGGGAACAGCCAGGGCAAAGGTCCTGAGGTGAGACCGTATTCGGCGTGTTCGAGACGCTGGATCTGAGTGAGCAGAGAGGACGGCAGTAGAGAATGGAGGAGGCGAGCTCAGTGAGGTGACAGGGACAGACCGCGGGGGATCTGGGGGCCGCAGGAAGGGCTTTGTCCTTTACGCCGCTGAGTAGGACGGTGCCGCAGGACAGGGGACGTGACCCGAGCCAGGTGTCCCTCCGGCTGCATATAGGGGACAGACCAGGGAGGAAGCTGCTGCGACGGTCCAAGCAGGAGAATATGGAGGCTGGCCCAGGGTGGGGGCCAAGGAGGGGAGAAGTGTGCGGGTTACCAATCTGTTTTGAAGGTGGAGCCGGCAGGCCGCCCTGAGCGCTCACTGCCCGGCTGTGCCTGAGGCAGAACCCCGTGAGCCCTCCCTGGGAAGCAAGCGGACTGCAGGCTGTGTGTGCGTGGAAACCGGCTTAAATCCGCGCCGGGGTCCGGGGGAGGGCGCGGGCGGTTCTCCCCTACTCACGGTATTTCGTGCACGGATTTAACTGCACCTGCCGCTCCAGAAGGGCCTATTACAGAAAACAGATAAACGTGGAGAACCATGTTCCCCCCTCATGTGTCACGAAACCGTTCTTTGCCTTTCACACTTGTCACCCTCTCCGTCAACCTCGGCCGCTTTTTGAGTCACTGACCCAGTTTTCTGGAACACATTGTCTTCACTTCTTTCTGAATTGCGATGACACAGCGCTTTTGGAGCTCCGCATGACGCTATTTTTATCTCAAGATACAAGTATCCGTTCAAACATGAGAACGGCTCGCCCTGTTGGCTCAAGCCACTGTGAGCGCCACAGCAAGGCAGCTTCTGGTCCTTTAAATATATACATGGCACCTACACTCCACACAGGGCTTGTACTTGGCTTTCTTTAGCTTCTTGTGTGGAAGACCCTTCCATAGCCACTTCTTTCTTTTCTCTCTTTCTCTTTCTCTTTCTTTCTTTCTTTCTCTTTCTTTCTTTCTCTTTCTTTCTTTCTTTCTTTCTTTTTCTTCCTTTCTTTTTCTTCTTCCTTTCTTTTTCTCTGTTTGTTTGTTTCTTTCTTTCTTTCTATTTTATTTTTAAGTAATCTCTACACCCAGCGTGAGAACTCGAACTCACAACCCCGAGATCAAGATCTGCACGCTCCACCAGCTGAACCAGCCAGGCACCCCAGCTTTTTCAAAGCTGCCATTGCCTTCGTGTCCATCAGGGGGGACACGGTGTTTTGAAACAAAAAGTGAGCCAAAGTTTAAAAAGCAAGAGATTCCAGACGAAAATCCAGACTTCAGAGGCGCCTGCGTGGCTCAGTCGGTTAAGCGTCCGACTTCGGCTCGGGTCACGATCTCACGGTTCGTGGGTTCGAGCCCCGTGTCGGGCTCTACGCTGGCAGTGTGGAGCCTGCTTGGGATTCTCTCTCTCCCTCTCTCTGCCCCTCCTCTGCTCCCCCTCTCTCTCTCAAAAAAAAAAAATTCCATACGTAGGCAAACAAATAGACACATTCATATATAGTTTTCCCATAGCCTTTGTTCTTCTGTGCCTTTTAACATCTTGGAGAGATCATTTGAATATCGGAACATACAGGTCAGCCTCGTTGTTTTCTTGTTTGTGGTTTCTCTATCAAAAGTGGCCTGAGAGAATAACAGAGGCATTTAAGTAGTTCTTTTACAGGCCCTTTATTTATTTGCACGCACACTGCTGGCTCACGAGCGAGCGAGGCAGTAGACGGAGTCAAGTAACAAAGGGAAAACTAATGCAGGGGGAGGGGACAGGCTGCAGAGAGTCTGGGAACAGTGGCTCTTGTCTGTGCATTTGGGGAACAGGCTGATCGCTGGCAGGGAGCAGAGAGAGCGGCTGGGGCCGTCTGCCCTTGAAAGAGAATCCTTTTGGCTGCTCGCGGAGTCTCAGCTGCGGGCCGCACGTGACCGGCCGTCTCTGTGTGGCGTCTGCGGGTGTGCTGTGTCACCACCTGCCTCTACAGCATTCCTCGCGGGCAAACAAAAGCTGCTCCCAAGGGGCTGCGTGCTCGAGGCAAAATGAGAGCACACATGTCTCTGTGGAAGAGAAGAATAACCTTGCTTGATCTGACACGGAGAATACCTGTGTCTTAAAAGAACGCAAGTTAATATGACATCTCCGAAACAGCCCCCGGCGAGAAAGCCGGCTGCTAAGTAGGAAGACGGTGATGGCAAAAACCAAATAAACCCTCCTGATTCCTTTATGTTGCTGCTTGGCCAGGCCTGCCACATACAGCTGTGCAGGTTGCGCACTGCACAAGGATGCCACATGTGAGGGGTTCTATTTACAACGGAGGCATTGTAGGTTTGTACGTTAGTTTCAACAAATTTCTGGCAGGTGGCGCTAACGCTGTGCGGCCCTGACAAAACAAATTTCCGGAAAGACGTTAGGAGAGGTGTCTGAGTGTGCAGAAGAACCCCATGCGGGCTGACGGTGGCCGTGGGCCTGGGCTCACAGACAGAGGAGTTTGGGCCCCACCTTGAGTCATCTGCGACTTCGACACTTTCAGTGGCACTACCGGGGCAGGCGGCCGGAGGAGTTTACGGGCACACCCTGCGCCCTGAGGGCTTCTGGCAACGCCCCGCTCCGCCTGCTGCCCCGGAGGGATGTGTCTCCTTGCTGAGCCTCTTCCCGCTGCCTCCTCTCCCTGCAGAACATAGACACCCTGGAGCGGGTGGCGGGGCTGGAGCCCGAGGACCTGGTGGAGGCCCACGGCACCTTCTACACGTCACACTGCACCAGCGCCCTCTGCCGACGGGAGTACACGCTAAGCTGGATGAAAGGTGAGGCGCCCCGGGCTCTCCTCGAGGGCAGGCCCCCTGCCGAGCAGCCACCGACGGGGCCTCCGAGCCCCCCACCCCCACCCCCGGGCACCCGTTCTGTCCTGCTCCGTGGCTCTTCTTAGCAGACAGTGGCCGCCCCCCAAGATGGGAGGGGGCAGCGGGGTTTCATCGCTCCCAGCGCCAGCTCACGACCAGGCTATAACGGAAGCGAGCTCCGGACCGAATTCAGCCACCCGCACAGATGCGCGTTGGCACAGAGGCCCCCAGTTGGTCTGTTCTCTGCGGTCAGGACACCCTCGCTCTTTGCCCTTTGAGGGGCTCTGATCTGACCGTACACGAGGGGCTCGTGGAGGCAAACGCAGCTACATTCTGCAAAGAGCAGAACCGTCTGATAGAACTTTCTGAGAGTGAGGGGAGGGAAATATTCCCGATCTGCGCAGCCAAGGTGACCACGGAACTGAATTTTTCATCTTTCTTGTCGTTTTTATGAGTTGAGACGTTAAAAGCCAGGGCCGCGACCACCACGTTGAACAGCCCTGTGCTAGAGGCACAGGACCCGATAGCCCGTGAGTCGGATTCGGGCAAGCAGATTCCATGGCGTGTGAGGCTCCGTCAGGGATGAAGGCGGAGGGCTGGCCCTAGAGGCGCAGGCTACGGGGCTTGCTAAAGTCTGAGTCCCTGTTCGTGGAAGGGCAGCGTGTCAAAAAAAAAAGGGGGGGGGGCGGCAAAAAATTCGGCCAGTCCACATTTCTCAAATGCCAGTGAGAGCCTTTGCCTGACATCCATTGTGCGGCTGAGAAGTCACGCATTTCACCCAGGGAAAGCCATTTGTGACACTCTTTATGCTGGTTTCACAAAGCCCCTGGTGTCCGTGTGAGACGGGACAGCTGCAGCATTTGTAGCGGGGCCTCCGGAGTGTGGCCTTTCTGCTAAAACGCCAGCTGACCACCCCTGGGGCGACGATTCTTGAATAGCTCCGGCGCGCGGGGGGGGGGGGGGGCGGCGACACACGCGACCCTGTCCCGTGTCGCTGGCGGCAGTGGCCCACGCGCCGCCGCACAATCTCCTGCTGTCAGTGCCGACATCCCTCAGAAAATGACAGGCAGTAAAACAGTGCTCTGTCAATACGTGTCGAAAGAAGGAACCAATAGTGGGACAAATCAGCTAGGGCTCTGTGGATTGCCTGTGACAGCGTGTCCCAGCGCGTCCCAGCGTCTTTAATCAATAAGCAGTAAGGAGCGTGGTTGTCATAACGCTGGTGTGTGTGTGTGTGTGTGGAGGTGTCTGTCACAGAGCCAGGGGACCGGAAGCAGCTGGGCCTAAGGAAGTGTCCCCACCCCAGGGTCATCTGCATATTCCTGCCTCTCTGGCACCAGGCCTGGGACGCACTAGGCCTCTCACCCAGGAGAAAATAGGGCTCCCCTCCCAGACCCACCCGGAGAGCTTTTTCGCCCAGGTGGGGGTGGGGGGGCTCCTTTGCCCCTTCTGAGGACAAGTTTCTGCTCGTTCATCTGTTCTTGTGTTTATTTATTTTTTTTTTTAATTTTTTTTTCAACGTTTATTTATTTTTGGGACAGAGAGAGACAGAGCATGAACGGGGGAGGGGCAGAGAGAGAGGGAGACACAGAATCGGAAACAGGCTCCAGGCTCCGAGCCATCAGCCCAGAGCCCGACGCGGGGCTCGAACTCACGGACCGCGAGATCGTGACCTGGCTGAAGTCGGACGCTCAACCGACTGCGCCACCCAGGCGCCCCTTGTGTTTATTCTTAATTCAATAGCTGTAGCCTGGTGCCCGGAGACGCCCCAGGAATCCTGGGGTTGGGGGAGGTGGGGGCGGCTGTCTAAGAGGGGAGCAGGGCAGACACCCCGGAGGCCCCCCAGGGCCTGGGGCGTGTTTGCTGACCACGAAGGAGGCAGGCAGGCTGCAGCCCCACACACCCCGGGGCCCGGAGTGGCTCACGTTGTCCTCTCCCTTCCCCTTCCCCACGCCCAGAGAAGATCTTCTCCGAGGTGACTCCCAAGTGTGAGAAATGTCACAGCGTGGTGAAGCCTGGTGAGACCGGCCCCCCCCCCGCCCCCGCCCCCGCCCCCGCCACGAGCCCCGTCCACCCCACCCCTGGCCACCCTCTGTCCCTGACCAGTGCCCTGAATCTGCCCCCATGGAGAAGGGGTTCCATAGCCCCTGCCCCCGCGGCCCTCGGGTCTGCCTCCTGCTCCTGCCTGTTTTCTCTCTCTCTCTGTCTCTCTCCCTCCATGTGCCTGTCTCTGCCTCCCGTTTCACCTTCTCTTTCTGTGTCTGTGTCCGTGTGTCCATCCAATTCTGCCTCAGACATCGTGTTCTTCGGTGAGAACCTCCCGGCGAGGTTCTTCTCCTGCATGCAGTCAGTAAGTGCCCCACCCCCGGCCCGCCCCACGCTCCCCGCTCCCCCGAAGCAGGGGCAGCCGGGCAGTGCCCGGGGGCAGGTGGCTTCCCCAACTAGCTGCGGGGGGGGCAAGCAGGGGGAGGCGGCGCAGTCTCAGTCGGTTGAGCCTCTGGAACCCTCACCGGCCCCCCCCCCCCCC